TTTTATTTAATCATTTCTTCCATTCACTTTAGCTACTCTCCATTCAGGAGCAAGTTTCAGAGTCTCTTCTGACATCCATTTTGGTTTTTTCTTCCTTTCCTGTCTTTTTAATGACTGTTTGTTTGCTTTCTTCATATATGATGTTCTTGATGTCATCCCCCAACTCGTCTAGTCTTCAGTCATTAGTGTTCAATGTGTTAAATCTATTTTTGAAGTGGTCCATTTGAAGTGGTCTCTGAATTCAGGTGGGATATGATCAGTGTTTTATTATGGCTCTGGTGGATTTGTTTCAATTTTCTTCAGCTTCAGCTTGAACTTGCATATGAGCAATTGATAGTCTTTTCTACAGTCAACACCTGCTTTGTTCTAATTGAGAATATTGAGTTTCTCCATCACCTCTTTCCACAGATATAGTCAATTTGGTTCCTGTGTATTCCATCTGGTGAGGTCCAGGTATGTGTACAGTCACCATTTATGCTTCTGAAACAAGGTATTTGCAATGAATAAGTCATTGGTCTTAAAGAATTCTATCATGAGGTCTCCAGAGTCCTTTCTTTCGTCAAGGCCATATTTTCCAGCTACTGATGCTGCTTCTTTATTTCCATCTTTTGTATCCCAATCACCAGTAATAATCAGTACATCTTGATTGCGTGTTTGGTCAATTTCAGACTGCAGAAGTTGGTCAAAATCTTAAATTTCTTTATCTTTGGCATGAGTGGTTGATGCTTAAATTTGAATGATAAGAATATTAACTGGTCGTCCTCGTAGAAGGTCTTTCTTCTTCTCATTGACAGCTTTGCATTTTAGGATAGATCTTGAGATGTTCCTTTTGATGACGGATGTGGTGCCATTCCTCTTCAATTTATCATTCTCAGCCTAGTAGACCGTATGATTGTCTGCTTCAGTATGGCCAGTACCAGTCCATTTCAGCTCACTAATGCCTAGGATATCAATCTTTATGCATTCCATTTTATTTTTGACAACTCCCAATTTTCCTGGATTCATGCTTCGTACCTTCCACATTCCTTTTAGTAATGGATGTTTGCAAGTGTTTCTTCTCATTTTGAGTCATTCCCCATCAGCAAATTAAGGCCCCCAAAAGCTTTACTCCACTTGTGTCATTAAGGTTGACTCTACTTTGAGGAGGCAGCTCTTCCCCAGTTGTATTCTGAGTGCCTTCCAACCTGAGGGGCTCATCTTCCAGCACTGTATCAGACAGTGTTTCAGGGAAATTCGTAAAGTTTTCCAGTAATATATCAGATAGTGTTTCACTGTTATTCATAAGGTTTTCAGTGGCCAATTTTTTGAGAAGTGGATGACTTCTTCCTTCCAAGTCTTTCTTAGTCTGGAAGCTCTGCTGAAACCTGTCCACTATGGGTGACCCTGCTGGTATTTGAAATACCAGTGGCATAACTTCCAGTTTGAAAACAACACGCAAGCCAACATAGTACAAGAAGCTGACAGACGAGTAGCGGAAAACACTTAGAATAGTGCCTGGTAAGTGGCCCACAGCAAAAGTTAGCTAAGCCAAAGTAATATTAGCTATTTATTGTTATTTTTTTGCCAGTATGACTTTTGAGGAGTATCCTGATTCATCAGAACCATAAGATATCATGAGGACTTATTACTAGGTTATATTTGTACTCAAGGGCCTGAAAAGGTGAATGCCCCCCATAGGTCTGGGCTCCTTTAGTCAGAAGGAGTTTAAAATAAAATAAAAGAATCTCTCTGTGGAGATGAACTCTTTCAGGCATAGGATTGATTTGTTGCCCAGTAAAGAAAGCCCTGAAACAGTTAATGAGTGAATAGGTATTTATGGAGGAGTTCGGACATCCTTTTTGTCTCTATCCTCGCCATACCTTTTCTTATACCAGACTCTTGAGAGTTCAGTTACATTTAGCTCGAAATGTTTTAGTAAATATCCAGAAAGCCCAAACTCACTGCCTTCGAGTTGGATCTGACTCATAGTGACCCCTCCTTGGGTTTCCAAGGCAGTATCACTACAGAAGTAGATTGCCCCATCTTCCTTCTGAGGAGTGTTTGGTGGGTTTGAACCACCATCCTTCTGGTTAGCAGTCAAATGCCTTTGGTACTATGCCACCAGAGCACCTGTTTTAGTAAATAGTTTAGCATAATGGGAGCAATTACCCAGGTATTTGTTGCCTGTGCTATTATTTCTGTACTTCAAGGATAATTGGTATGTTACCACCAGATGGCAGTAGAGTCAAGGTTGACCTTACTTGGTGGCCTCCACCGAGAGATTAAAGATTCTAAAGATTGAAGCCACGCCTTTGTATACAAATAAAAAAACAAAAAACAAACTCACTGTTGTGGAGTCCATTTAGCTCGGAATGTTTTAGTAAACATCCAAAAAACCCAAACTCACTGCCTTCGTGTTGGATCTGACTCATAGTGACCCCTCCTTGGGTTTCCAAGGCAGTATCACTATGAAAGTAGATTGCCTGAGCTTCCTGCTAAAGAGTGGCTGGGGATTTGAACTGCCAGCCTTCTGGTTAGCAGTCAAATACCTTAGGCATTACACCACCAGAGCTCCCTTGTATATAAATAGAATTTGTTTATTAAAACAATGAAAGCTTTCTTTTGTTGTTGTTGTTA